AGCGCATTATGCGGCATAATGCTCAACTAAGCTTCAGCATAATTCGGCATTGTGCGTCACTAAGTCGCATTATGCTCTGTAATTAACCATTACTTAATGGTAGTTTTCCAATTACAGAGCATAATGCGACTCAGTGACGCACAATGCCGAATTATGCTGAAGCTTAGTTGAGCATTATGCCGCATAATGCACTCTTGTGCTGTAATTGGAAAACGGCCAGTAATTACAATGCGTTAATTGATGATTTATTTTATTTGAATTGTTTTTCAGTAATGTTGGCTGAAGAATCCAGGAATCGTAGTGAAACTCGGCGACGTCCCGTGATGCCGAGCAGAATGTCCCTACGACGGACGAAAACTGACCCGAAAAATGTTCCTTCTACGTCTAATGCTGAGAATAAACAAGGTATAGTAAGGGATCTGTCGCTCGGGATCAGTACAGAGCTGCAGAGGACTGTGTCTATAGTAGTGTAGTATAGGACTCTTGGCTGGATATAGGTCGGATCTGTGTCTGTTTGTCTACGAGAAGAGCTCGTGGATCAGTACAGAGCTGCAGAGGACTGTGTCTATAGTAGTGTAGTATAGGACTGTATGTAGATGTAGATTGCATCTCTGTGTCTGTTTGTAAAAAGACTATCTAATCAAACTTATTAATTTTCAGAAGTAACACGACAAGATCTCAATTTAAAGCCTCCGAGGAAGCCACAGTATTGTCTCATAAAGCCTACAGTGTTGAAAAACATTGAACAGAATTTGTTGTCGCCCATTAAATTATTAGAAAAAGGCGTCCAAGAAAAAATTAACAGTGAAGAAATAGACAATGTTATAATCGATGAGAAAATATTAGAAGAGGTCCGAGAAAAGTTCCGAAAACCTAAACCCTTGTGTGTTAAAAGGAAAATTGTCGAGTGAGTCTCTGGTTTTTAACTACATTTTCTACAGTTTCTAGAAGTAAAGGCCTATAAAGTTTTTTTCTTTTCTTAGTTGGATGGACGAGCTCACAGCCCACCTGGTGTTAAGTGGTTACTGGAGCCCCCCTCCCCCTACTCTGACCGGGTTTTGACCCCGGACTGAGATCGGACGCCGGGTGTAAGAGTGCAGGGGAGTCGTTTAGTGGGTGGGTTACTGGAGCCCCTGGACATGCACAACATAAATGCGTCAAAATAAAGTTACAAGGCTGCCCCGCCCTTCAAACCAATATGCGTTACTGTTTCACGGCATTGTTATCTTAGTTTGGTCTAAACAAGTTAGTACATATGGGCTAATTAAAAACATAAGAATATTAATTAATACAAAAAAATATAATTGTAAAGGAGCATCGATAATCCTCAATGTTGAGGTTCCTAGCCTCCCTTAATAATTTTCTTTTGAACTTATATACTGCACTAGCCTTGCCTTTGCTCAGGGGCACAATGTCATAGTAGAGTGAGTGGTTGAGAATAGAGAGTATCTGGTCCAAAGTGGACTTCTTCTTCATTGGACTTCTGCCTCAGCCTTCTTCGGCACACATTTCCTTTTCTCAGCAGCTTTTTTAAAATATTACCTTTCTTTTTTGCATAACTACCTACATACATACATAGTACATAAATCCCTACCTTTCACATGCCCAAATTGTATTAATCTAGATATGAATTTGTTTTTTTTACAGTGAAATTTTGCAAGGGCTGTTCGATACCGTTCTGAAAGAATCGAAACAGAAGGAGATAATCAAGAAATGGTGCTCCCCTAAAAAACGAGAAATCAAGGAGGAAACAGAGGTATTTTTTTAGTCTATTACTCATCGTGTCATCCGACTCTGGAATGAACTCCCTTCCGATATGTTCCTATAGATCTGTCCATACCCAACAGCATCTAAAAATAAGTCTTATGCAATGGTGACCGGACATGTATGTATATGTGAGTCAGTGATAGGGCTTATATGCAGCCTCCACTTCTCCTTATGAGTGAGATAGCCACAATTAATACTTCGACCTATTAGCTTAAGTCATTTACATTGTCTAATTAATACCAGATGAGCTGGTATGCCCATCAACAGAACAGATACCGAAAAGAACATCGAACTGTTGATGCTAATACCAAATAAAACGGACCCCTAATTACAAAAATAAATGTACCTTAAATTAAGTCTAGTCTTTCACCCCTTTATATGTTTTTTATTTTTTTATTGCTTAGACGGGTGGACGAGGTCACAGCCCTCCTGGTGTTAAGTGGTTACTGGAGCCCATAGACATCTACAAAGTAAATGCGCCACCCACCTCGAGATATAAGTTCTAAGGTCTCAAGTATAGTTACAACGGCTGTCCCCACCCTTCAAACCGAAACGCATTACTGCTTCACGGCTAAAATAGGCAGGGTGGTGGTACCTACCTGTGTGGACTCACAAGAGGTCCAACCACCAGTAATTCAGTAATAAACCATTTCTCTTTCTTTCACAGCCTGAGGATATCATATCTGAAGACACAGCGGTCGCTCGGAACCCCTCCACGCCAGTTAAAGTCGAGATCCAAAATGAATCGAGCAATGATTCATCTAGTACTTTCCAACTACCACCGGAGTTCGTCGCCGACGACAGCGATCATTTCTCGCCGCAGAAACTAAAGAAACTAGACATTCAAAACAATTCCAGCTTAGAGATATTCGAGAATAATGAGATTATTAACATAGACGTTAAAAAAATGGACACTCAGTGTGACCGCAGTGAGGTTGTCGATTTAAAGACTCCGGTGAAAGTTAAGAAGTGCGCTTTCAAGTTCAGCCCGTTGGATAAGGAGACCCTGAGTGACGAAAACGTCGGCATGGACGTTGAGAGCTTCAAGAATTGCTACCTGAACGAGGTGGACAGGCATTTTGTGAACAACGTCCTGGGTGAACATGGGAAGAAGAAGTCTAGAAAACGGAAACTGAACTCGAAAGTAAGAATCGATAAGAAAAAAAAGAGTGATCATAAGGAGTTGAACAAATCGAAGGTGTACTGTAAGAACGGGAGGCAGAAGATGAAGATTAGATTCAAAACTCGCATAAAACTGAAGGTATGCGAGAGCAAGGATAAAGATTTGAAACAGTACGTTTTGTCGAACGTGAATAATGTTGTTGTGAGACCGCAAAAAGAGGTTGGACCGATTAAAAGGAAATATAACAAGCAGGAGAAGTCATCGGATAATCTAGTTCAGACATCGATCCAGAAGTTTTTCGCTGTGAAAAATTGTAAAACTAAATAGCACGCTGAAAAAAGCTTGCTTATAGCACACATAGATAAATAGCATGTTATTATTATAGAATAAATATACATATATCAAATAGGCACTTCATCTACGTCAGTCTCAGCTATCACTTGAAGTTGTCATGACCTAAATGATAACATGGCTGGTGTACTCTATGCCACCATGCCCGTTCAAATTTTTGTTTGTTATCGCTTAGATGAGTGGACTAGCTCACAGTCCACCTGGTGTTAAGTGTTTACTGGAGCCCATAGACATCTACAACGTAAATACCGCCACCACCCACCTTGAGAAATGAGTTCTAAGGTCTCACTTTTAACAGTACACTTTCGCAGACATGTACAAATTTTTATAAGGAAATATTTGCCACAAATTACTAAAAATCAAATTCACTAAAACTATAATTTGCATCATTATTATTGGAATCTGGGAGACATCAATTCTGAAGGGAAAAAGACGGCTTTCACATGGCAACTCAATAGGTTCTAGTGATCACTTGGTATATGTCCTCAATAAGAGTGTCTCCCACCTATTGGACTCCCTAATACCTATCTTACCACGTGGGCATCATCTTTCTGCGTACCTCTGCCATGAAGAAATTCAGAGCTCCGGCTCTTAGAACAGTTATCCAAGGGCTTTTTCTGGTATGCGTATTTACGATGATTGTATATAGTTAAAAAAAGATGTTTGGTGTCGTGGGACACCGGATAGGAACGAAGTTTCTTATTATAAAAATATTAATTTTAAGTTCTATTGGAGGTATAAAGAAAATAAAACTGGAGGTTTTGCAACAACCCACGGTCATTCGGTAGCGTGCGAACTTATTGTGGTACACTTCATTCACGGTTGTTTGCATAAGAGTTAGTGTGTTGCGCAAACGAACGCTCTGAGATCGTGGTTAATGAATGAAAAAAAAAGCTTATTTTTTGTATGTTATTACAAAGTTAAGTTTTACACTGTGCATTACTAATTTGTACGTTATTACAAAGTTAAGTCGTACACTGTGTGCATTACTAATACCTTACGTTACGGACGTTTTTTCCCGGTTAGGGTACCCCTCCGCATCGTCCCATAAGGAACTTCCTTCCAAAAAAAAACTAGTTTAAACTTACATCATGGAGTTTACTAAGTCGTTATAAGATATTATGTCCCTAAACAAGTTTTTCAATGATTGTTTTTTTTTGTCTCAACTATGGAGGTTAGAGGTAAAGTGTCGACATGTAAACATCAAGTTACTGTTGGAAGACTCACCGAAATAGCGCTAGTGTGGGAAGTGGAAATGATGTGAATAAAGCAGTTTTAAACAGAGCGAACGAAGTGTGCTAGATTTAAGTGATGTGTAGTCGTTTATGGCACTGTTTTTAAATCTTTCCACTTGCTACTGTGGCGCCATCTTAATTGGCTCCCGTTCAGCGAACGCTTTTTAACTTGTACTAAATAGCAGTTCGAAAATCCTCCAGAATGGCGCTAGCATGAGCACAGGGTATGATATGAATTGAGCAGTTGTTGACTGATTGAAGTATGCATGCTGAGTTAGGAAATGTAATATATTTAATGATTAGAGTAGTTAGTGACAGTGTAATATACAAGACCTCACATGTTTACGTAGCCCAAACTAATTTCGTCAATATAACCTAAAATTATTGCTGTGGTAAAACTTGGAGACATCGATTGCATTTTCTTATCATCATCATCATCATCATCATCAGCCTTTATCTGCCCATTGCTGGACATAGGCCTTCCCCAATGCCTTCCACATAATGCGATCCTCCGCCTTCCGCATCCAACGATTTCCCGCCGTGCGCACTAAGTCGTCAGTCCACCTGGTGGGAGGACTGACGACTTAGTTATTGTCAGCTTTAAACAAAATACTTTTTGTGATTTTGCAGTGCTTACAGTTATTTCGTTCTTTTTTATTTCTCTATCTTATTCGAATAACTTTCAGCGCCCTTTTTTTAATTTACCTGGTTGCTACTTTAGTGCCAACCTTATTTAGAAAATTTTAACGTATACTTTTCACACAGAGAGACGGTTCTCTTACCTCTACCCTCCATAGTCTCAACTCATCGGTTGCAAAACCGCCACGAAGTGCCTTGTTAAATTACAAAGTATATAATAAATTAGTACTTTTATTACTAAATTGTGCATTTAAAAGTATTTATGTAATTTTTGTTATATAAAAATGGTTTTAAATATATTAAATTGCCTAGATTGTTGAAAAATTCTAGAAATATCGGGAGTATATGAGTGCTGTCAGAGCACGTCGATTTCTACCGTTTAGTAGATACTTTTTATTATCACAATTTTGTGTTTTTCTGTAATCAAGACATTACTATGCAATGTTAGTTTTACTATGTAATGTTTTATAAAATATATATTAAGGTTACACTACGATTGAATAAGTCAACTTTTTTTTTCGTTAACTCTTCGTTTGTATAGTTGATTCAGCGCTTATTAAAAGAATAAACAAATTCATTGTGTAAATCTGCGTTTTATTTTGGCTTGCCGTCCTTCATCGGGCACTGGGTACGTGTACAGATTCCTAGTCATGCACAGTGACCCACAGGGTTAGGTCCGTGTCTTTTACTGTGGAACATCGGGAACGGCCGATTATTGAGAGGTGCCCAGCTCCCGTGCGTCTAACCCTAGGTGTGTTGTCACGATAAGAGGACAATGGTGGTGCGTCCCTATTTTGAAGAAGCGCTCTGACGCTGTCTTCAGATACTAGAAGACTTGATTCCTTGGATTTGTATCATTATCATTATGAGGTTATGAGGTGCGTTCACATTGAAATTTTTGCACTAGTCTATACAAAGATAATTTTCACCGGATTAGACAGAAAGATATGCTTCATTGTTGTAGGTGCGATTGATACCACGTATAAATATTAATCACGATTAACTTATTTTATTATATTATAACTTACGATAGCTTTAAGATAATCTTTTTTTTGAAGAAGAATGTTATGTAATTATAAGAAGACAATAAAATAAAAAGGCCCACAGTGAACGCCTCATCATATCTTGCATGAAGCTAAATATGCTAAGTTTAAAGTTTACAACATATTATATATGTGGCAGAAGACATTTCTTGACAGTTTGCTTAAAGTACTGAATTAGCAGTAAATTAACTAGTACTTACTACGTTATATTTATTATATCACAAAACTGCCAGTGGTCACTTCAACCCGATTAGTAAAATACTGATTGAATACCAAGTAACGCATATTTGGTAGTTTTTCATCCTTTAAGCCTGACCACACTGAAGTGGCCTTTGTTTACAACGCGAAAAGTAGATCGAAACAAAAACAAGTTCAAAACGAATCAGCTAGCCAGCAGCCAGTACGCTCTTACGTGAGACGTCTACTGTCTTATTTTGCAAGTTTAAATTTAACTTTCTTCGTCGTTTTAACAGAATATACATATTCATTTATATACAATTTAATAAAACATCACTAAAGAGCACCTGTGAAAAAGTTTTTGAATTTACGTTCTTTGTTTAAATTTAGTGAAAATTTACGCGACGTTGCCGCTCCGTCTACTGCGACTAGCTAGTTTTCTACGTCGAATAAAATTTTGTTGAAAGTTTTTTTTGCATAATATCATTTAAAAATCAAAACCGTGCATCATTTTTATCTTGTATAAATTCGAGTAATGCTTCAGTGCCTTGAAATGTGTGAATTTGAACGTTGCGAAGTTTCTGACGCAATATCAATCTGGCAACAGCGCGCGGAGTCTGACTGAAAACAAGTTTTAAATGTATTAAAGAACTCGGATTTGATCCGTGATCACTACACTAATTCTCAGCTTATGAGGTAAGTTTAGCTTTATAATATTCGTAAGATTAATTTGCAAAAAGAAATTGAGAAAGATTAAGCGTAATATTCTATTTGATTTTCCCGCGAAATGACGTAATTTCGTTGTTGGATCAGCCATTTTTTTTTTGTAACAATCAGTCTGCTGTCAAGATCGCTTGAGTTTGTTCGGACGAGAAAGAAAAACCAAATCTTAAATCATAGGGTAGTTTTTTAGCTAATAAGCAACCACGGAAGCATCCGGGTAAGTTTAAATTCTCTAATAATTACAAATTATAAATATTACGCTTAATTGTTCGCTCGATTATCATTGAAAATTAACCTAACTTCTGTTGCTAAGGCTCAGTATTTAGGCCAACCAGTAATATCTTCGTGTTGAAATCCTTATATAGGTACAAATTTACTTATAATGTCTGAGTACCGAGCGAAAAAAACGCAAAACTCTGGGGTACGTTTTTTTATAGACAAAAGAAAGTTAATTTTTTAGCAGTACCTATTGAGGGTTATGACGTACAGACATTATTTGTCATCGCTCTATTTCGGTACACACGTAGTGGTTAGAGATAATCTTCAGAATTAGAAATCTATTTTCGAATAAGAAACATTTACAGAAAATCTAGTCATTAAAAAACTAATAAGTTAAGTGATCTAGAATCTTCTAGAAATTTACTTAAATAACTAGCAGGTTCATTCATGTATCACCCATATTGAACAGGAAAGTTCAGTTTTACATCGAAAAACTGTAAATCAACATTTCAAAATATTTCATAATATCTGTAATTAGATTAGTATCTCCCTGATAATTTTATTTATACCCTAATGATACTGAAATAATTAATTAAAGAAAAGGTTTTTTTTTATATTAAAGTTCATGAATCCATTATTAAAATTGCTTTTACACACTATACTGATCAGTAATGTATTTGTAATAAAAGGTTATTAGTATAATATTTTAAGGTAAGACGTAAAGTAAAATAATAAAAAGGTTCGACCATGATTTTATGAATGCAAAAAAGTAATACTAATTAGCAAAGGGCTTTTTTGGAACAAATACTAAATTACAACTATCTCTATGGTTAAAATATCTTATACAAGATCATTGTATACATTTCAAAATTATTAGACTTTGTAATGTGAATCTTAGAATTTCAATATATCTTAAATATACTAACATTTAAAGTTTGATTTTTTTTTCTTGAGGTTTGCCCAGTAAACCACTTAGCACTAAATGGCCCGCGAGCACAACCACTACAAAGTTTTGATATTGGAACATATAATATCAGATGTATTGATAAGTAATTGGGGTGCTGATAATCATTGGGGTCAAATGAACAACTGCGTCGAACATGCTGTCTCAAACAAGCTATCAATGTGTAAATGTTTGAAATACAATTGATAATTTTTATCAATAAACATATATCGAAATGGGATGCAAAAGTTTGTATTTTTTACCATTTGCTTGTCGTGTAGGTCACCAGCGCTTTACGAGATACACTGAAAATAATAATTTGCATAAGTACTGGCGGTAGGACCTCTTGTGAGTCCGCACGGGTAGGTACCACCACTCTGCCTATTTCTGCCGTGAAGCAGTAATGCGTTTTGGTTTGAAAGGTAGGGCAGCCGTTGTAACCATACCTTAGAACTTATATTTCAAGCTGGGTGTTGCATTTACGTTGTAGATGTCTATGTGCTCCAGTAACCAGTTAACAGCTTAGGTGGGCTGTGGGATCGTCTACCCATCTAAGCAATAAAAAAAAAAGTAATTGTGTTGATTTCTGTTATCAAATGGCTGGATTGCCTAACTTTGCCTTCTTTTATTTTTAAAGTATGTTTTAGTCTAAGTTTAGTAAGTTTTAGGTCCCTATGAAATAGATTCATTCTCAATATCTTCACATTAGAGTTTCCCGGAGTAATAAATATTATAGGATATATTTTGGCGCCCTAGTAACAGAATGCGACACGGTTACTTCAGTGTGCTATATCAGGCACCGGTGATCAACATGGTAGTCAAAGGACTAGGAATAGTCACATGTGTACTGATTTCAATATAATATTCTCAAGTGGAGTATTGAATTGTCCTGTCAATTTTACGTATTGAACCGCATTTCGTATCAGCGGTAAAGCTATGAATATTTCAAGGCACACACACACAGCTCTGAATATTTTCATGCACACGCACGCACACACACACGCACACACACACACACGCACACACACACACAGAGCTTTGAAGGCAACAGTTTATTTTACGCAATTTGTCGAATTAAATTGGTTTCTTAACGGCGTCGCTATGTTTCACAATTCGTACATCTTTATTTGTATGAATGAAACGTTACGATTTTGCAATGAGTGTGATGCGTAATGTATTAGTTACTGGTGGTCGGACCTCTTGTGAGTCCGCTCGGGTAGGTAGGTACCACCGCCCTGCCTATTTCTGCCGTGATGTAGTAATGCGTTTCGGTTTGAAGGGTGGGGCAGCCGTTGTAACTATACGTGAGACCTTAGAACTTATATCTAAAGGTGGGTGGCGCATTTACGTTGTAGATGTTTATGGGCTCCAGTAACCACTTAACACTAGGTGGGCTGTGAGCTCGTCCACCCATCTAAGCAATAAAAAAAAACTACTATCGAACTGAGACTCGAATTCATGAATCAAGGTGAGCGGTGGTGTCCGCTTTGGGATTGTCTGTAGACTCTGCTTATCACATTACCAACGGGTGGCTCGTCCCTCTACGCAGTAAAACAAAAAAAAAGTAAAGATAATAGTACTTTCATCGGTTTCCGCGTGTTGCACATTGGGTTTTTTTTTAATTATTGTAGAAAAATTATTTACGTCCTATCGAATAATTTGAGTTTTCGTGGTCACAGTCAAAATTTAGGTTTTTCGATGACCAAGTATCGCTCTTTGGTTATCAACACTGGAATATTGTAGTCGGTTCGTGTTGCCTTTACTGATAAGAAATCGGAACGTTTCCGTCATGTTTTGAGGCGAGGTCAATTTTGTATGTCAAAATTATAATATGAATTATAATATTATATATTAGACTAGCTGATCCGGCAGACTTCGTATTGCCTCAATCGATAGATAAAATACCTAAACTTTTGTATAAAATAAACTTAAAACAAACATAAGGAATCCGTCCTACGGGGGACACTTCAAAGGAAAAACAAAATTGTTGTTTTTATTTAATTCCGAGCATTTTCGTATTTATCTACCTGTTAAACCTTCTCTGGACTTCCACAAATAATTCAAGACCAAAATTAGCCAAATCGGTCCAGCCGTTCTCGAGTTTTAGCGAGACTAACGAACAGCAATTCATTTAATATAGCATATAATTATATTATAATATTAATGTTCGTTCTTTTCTTTGTCGACGGGCAGTTTATCCAGTTTGAATGAATAGCCATTACCGCTTCAGGCATAGTGTCAATATTGCAGGCCGTCGCGCCCATACGTGACTTCAACAAGTGTGTAATTTTGTACATTATATAAGCCCATTGAGTTTCTCATCGGTTCTTCTCAGTGGCTCGCGATTCCGATCCGCTGGTAGATTCAGCGAAGCACTAAGCTGGGGCTAATGTTTTCATTTTTATTATTTACTTAGGTGAGTGGGCGATCTCACGGCCCACTTTGTGTTAAGTGGTTACTGGAGTCCACAGACACCTACAACGTAAATGCCACCACCCACCTTAAGATATAAGTTCTAAGGTCTCAGTATAATTACATGATATAGTTACGGCTAGTGTGGCGGAATATGTATTTTTTCCCAATAAAAAATACGTTTTTTTTTTTTTTTAAAGCTATTATTTATTTTTCACTTTTTAGTTGAATTTCAATTTTTTCAATATATTTTTTTAATATTGAATTGTCATCGGTCCTTAATAATTATACCAAATTTCGAGTTAATCCGACGTTTTGAAGGGGGTCGAAATCATGTTCAAAGATTCCGTTACATACTAACATACACACGTCTGAAGCTAATAAAAGCGTAATTGTATTAAAAAAGAGGCTATTTGTGGCTGTGTTTTGAATGAGAGTGGCATCGCGCCGTAGTTTGACTTGCAGGCGAGAGGATTTGGCCGTTTCGATGTGTAGAAAGAAGTTTCGGAAGATTTACGACCACCGGCAAGTAATGACATTATTCTGTTTGCCTCGGAACGTTTGTACAACTGTATTTTTTTAAACTGCGCATCTCGAGCGTGTAAATGTTTGGTTTGATTTGCACCCGAGACTTGTCATTGGGATGTTAAACAATATAGCGTTAATAAACGCTACTAAAGAAGTAACCGAAAGACTCTAGAATATTACCATTATTGTTGCGGCCGGCAATCGTATAATTCAAGCAGTTTGTATAAATTTTTGTTGGTAGACAACGGTATTATTACCTTGGCCACGTCATTATGGATCCGCCCGGTCCATTAACGGTGCTTTTAGGTACCACAAGCACCGGTCACCGTCCTCGTCGAACCCGTCGCTTGCGACGAAGGGCTCGACGAGTAAATTAACCCATAGACAGTCCAATGAGTTTCTCACCGAACATTCTCAGTGGGTCGTATTTCCGATCCGGTGGTAGATTCTGCGAAGCACTGCTCTTGCTAGGGCCAGTGTTAGCAACACCCCCGGCTTCAGCCCCGCGAGCTCACCTACTAGCTCGGTGAATCTAGAATAATCCCTCGAGGTTACTAGAATAGGTAGGGAAAAAAAATACCTTGGCATTTCTGACATCTCCAAGTAGCGCTGTCGATGTTCTCGTAAGAGGCGTAATAAAACATGTCATTTGATAAATAGTGTTGGACAGCGTTCGGCAACCTTGTCAACCAAAACAGCCAAATTAGATAACACGATTGAAATTTATTTTAATAGCCAAGTTTTTTTAACATATCGAAGAGTGAAAGATTATTTGGTTTTTAGCAAAATTCGCAAAATTTCGCTTAATACGCGATATTTATCTAATTTTTTATATTAAAGTTGCGTTTCATTTGGTAATTGACAACAAACA